ATCCCCCACTGAATGTTGAAAGAAGTTCTCAAGCCTGAGTAGTTCCCCCTTTTGTAGTTTTGGTTTTTTTTCCCCACCCTTATTCCAGCTGCTCTCCCACTTGAGCTCAACTATGTAGTCGAACACCGAACCACATGATCACTAGCTCCCAGGGCCTTTCGTACATGATAGTCCTCGATGTCAGAACTACTCGAAGGTGAATACAAGGTCCAGTCTTTGCCTGTTTCGTCCTCTCCTCTCACTCTGGTATTGTCTCTAACATGTTGTGCATGAGGTTTTTCCAGTACCACATCCATCATCTTGGCTCTCCATGTTTCGGGACCCCCATGGGGCCGTCCAGTTTTCCCAGTCAATCTCTTGTGATTGAAATCACCCATAACAGTAATTTGCTCCCCCCATTGTGCTCTCCTGGCCACCTCGCTAGTGTATCGCACCATTGCTTCTGTTGCTTCTCATTGTATTCTTCTTCTTGGCCTCCTGCAGTTCTGTGGTGGGTTTGTAACATTACTGCTATTATCACCTTATTCCCTCAGACTGCATTGTTCCTACTAAGTAGACACTTTCGCCTGTGCCATCCATTCCTTCCATTTTCCAAGCCCCCACGTTTTTAATGCACAGTGCAACACTCCTCCTCCCCCTCTCCTCCCTCCTGTCTTTCCTGAGGATTTGATATCCGGGTTATGAAAGATTGAATCTGTTAATACTCTGGTGAGTTTTGTTTCTGTGATTGCCTATATTCCTGGGGATGTCCTCCTTGATTCATTCTTGCCACTGCTTCCACATACTTATTTGTTATATCCATCTGCATTTGTATACACACCTTCAACTTCTTTTCTAAGATTGAGTCTGAGAGTGTATTGGGGGTTGAGGAAGTGAGACCTGAATAGGAAACTATGGGTAGTTGTGTGGGGAGAGAGTTTTGTAATGCAGTGGGTGGGGCATTGGATGTGGCATGGGTGTTTTGGTTTAGACGTGTTTATTCTGGTTGCACTGGGGTTTGAACCTGTTGAGAGGGCTTCTATAGGAATGTTTTAGGGAGCCTGTATTTGATCTTCTTCCTATGTCAGGGATATCTCCTGTCTGTCTTCTCCATCCCCTCTCTTTCCTTCCTTTCACCTGTACCATCTCTCTCTATTTCTGCCTTTTCCTGCTTGTGTTCCTGTCGCGGTCAAGTACACCTTCCTGTATGCAGGCATGTCCTTAATAGTCTTTCTCCTGCAGGATCTGTTTCGAGTCGATTCTCCTTGAAGGTCACTTTCACTGGCCCTGGGTTCATTTTTTTTCAAACCCCCCTATTCTCCGAAAATTTTCCAGCTGGTCCTGTCGTCTTCTCCTATGCTTTCATGATGCTTTCAATGCTTTTTTTCCCCCTTGTTTTTCTTGCTCATATGTTTCCCTTCAAACTTCCGGAGCCCATACACAAAGACTGACCTCACCGTTTTCATGCTCCCCAACTGCCATATCCCTGTGTATTCCTATCCTCCTCATTCAAATTTGATTTCCTCCATTGCAGCTATCCTTTCTTCAGTTTCACTAGCTTAATGTACTTTGGGGCTCAGTGGCCTGTCATTTCACCTTCTAGGCTTTCCTGGGCTCTGCTGTGGTCTGTTAGGCCTCCACATATAGCTTAGCTCTTTCATTTACTACATCCTCCACGAGTTGAGCTTCTACAAACAGTTTTGCTCCTTCTTTCCTACAGTCCCATTATTTTGTGACTGGGTAGCAGTCCTCTGTTGTCAATCCCAAAATGTTCCTTTTAGTTTCTTTAGGCTGATTCAGATTTTTTCAGTTCCTCTTCTAAACCTGTATCCTGGCCTCTGCTGCTTTTGACTTGCACCTCCCACTTCCTGCATATCCATGTCTATCCTCTCTTCCATTCTCATGCTAAGTTCTTCTAGTTTCTTTTCCCATTCATGTTCCCTTTTGTGAGCTCTGCTGCCCAATCTTCCTTTGCAGTTTCCTCCTCCTGTCCCTTGGTTTTTCTTGTTGCTCTCTGGCAACCCATTTTTGTTTTATCCTGATTGCCTCAGAGTGGGAAACCTATGTAATTCTGTATGTTAGGTTAGTATTGTGTATGTCAGAGTGTGTGGGGGGAGGTAGAGGAGGAACTGTGGCTATGTGGGAGAGTAGTGGGGAGGGGGAGTGGGAAGGAGAGTGAAGAAAGTGGGTGAGTGGGAGAGGGAGAGGGGGAAGGAGGGAGAGATGGGGAGGGGGAGGGTGAAAGAGGGGGGGAGGGATCAGGTGAAGGAGTGAGATGTCGATGGGGGAAGGGGGGAGTGTATGTGTGAGTCTGGCAATGTGTGTGTGTGTGTGTGTGTGTGTGTGGTGTGTGTGTGTGTGTGTGTGCATGTGTGTGTGTTGTGTGTGTGTTGTGTTGCATGTGTGTGTGTGTGTGTGTGTGTGTGTGGTGTGTGTGTGTGTGTGTGTACTCACCTAGTTGTACTCACCTAGTTGAGGTTGCAGGGGTCGAGTCTTAGCTCCTGACCCCGCCTCTTCACTGGTCGCTACTAGGTCACTCTCCCTGAACCGTGAGCTTTATCATACCTCTGCTTAAAGCTGTGTATGGATCCTGCCTCCACTACATCGCTTCCCAAACTATTCCACTTCCTGACTACTCTGTGGCTGAAGAAATACTTCCTAACATCCCTGTGATTCATCTATGTCTTCAATTTCCAACTGTGTCCCCTTGTTACTGTGTCCAATCTCTGGAACATCCTGTCTTTGTCCACCTTGTCAATTCCTCTCAGTATTTTGTATGTCATTATCATGTTCCCCCTATCTCTCCTGTCCTCCAGTGTCGTCAGGTTGATTTCCCTTAACCTCTCCTCGTAGGGCATACCTCTTAGCTCTGGGACTAGTCTTGTTGCAAACCTTTGCACTTTCTCTAGTTTCTTTACGTGCTTGGCTAGGTGTGGGTTCCAAACTGGTGCCGCATACTCCAATATGGGCCTAACGTACACGGCGAGTGTGTGTGTGTGTGCGTGTTAGTTACCATTTTGTCCTAGGCATATGTCGATTAGACACTAGGCCTGCTGTATATGCAAGTGTGTGTGTGTGTGTGTGTGTGTGTGTGTCGTGTGTGTGTGTGTCGTGTGTGTGTGTCGTGTGCGTGTGTGCGTGTGTGTACACTAAATAAGCTGTGTTTGTAAAGATCAAGTTTTAACTCCTGGTCCCTGCCTCTAAAGCTTCATTGACAGGTATTAGTTGTTTATCATCTCTTCATCCAAATCATGCCGCCTCCTCCTCTTAAAACTGTTAACAGCACAATATTCAGTTTGCCTCGCCTACCTCCATATTTAGTTCAATCCACTTCACTGCTACCCTGACACTTAGAAAGTGCTCCCTAACATTCTGTGACTCAACTGTGATTTAGCTTCCATGTCAACTTGCTCTTGGTCCATACATTTCAGTCTTTATCGGCTCCATCAGCTCCCCCAAGTAGTAACTGAATGTAGTGTGTGTGTGTGTGTGTGTGTGTGTGTGTGTGTGTGTGTGTGTGTGTGTGTGTGTGTGTGTGTGTGTGTATGTGTGTGTGTGTGTGTGTACTCACCTAGTTGAGGTTGCGGGGGTCGAGTCCGAGCTCCTGGCCCCGCCTCTTCACTGATCGCTACTAGGTCACTCTCCCTGAGCCGTGAGCTTTATCATACCTCTGCTTAAAGCTATGTATGGATCCTGCCTCCACTACATCGCTTCCCGAACTATTCCACTTATCGACTACTCTGTGGCTGAAGAAATACTTCCTAACATCCCTGTGATTCATCTGTGTCTTCAGCTTCCAACTGTGTCCCCTTGTTACTGTGTCCAATCTCTGGAACATCCTGTCTTTGTCCACCTTGTCAATTCCTCTCAGTATTTTGTATGTCGTTATCATGTCCCCCCTATCTCTCCTGTCCTCCAGTGTCGTCAGGTTGATTTCCCTTAACCTCTCCTCTGTGTGTGTGTGTGTGTGTGTGTGTGTGTCTGTGTCTGTGTACTCACCTAACTATGGTTGCACGGGTCGATTCGTAGCTCCTGGCCCCTGTCTCCAGGTATGTGTGTGTAGTTTTTGTGTGTGCATCTTTAAGTGTGAAATTTTATATTTGTTATGTTCTGGAATTATCACCACCACGGCCTTGTTTAGGCCTCTTAAATTAGAAAAAAATCCTAAATATTACTAGGCTAAGAACTACTAAGAAATGCTTAGCGAAGTGGAGATTCAGTCAGTACATCGTCAGTAAAAGTTGAAGTTTATAAGGTTTTACTATCTTACATATATTTCATAAAAATAAAATATATAATAGAATACTACATAAAGAGACTGAAGGATTCAATATACATTTGTGTGACAGCTTCTTAATCTTACGAGGGAAGATATTGAAACACGTTTAGAGAAGACCGGAAACCATTATCTCTACCGTTATGTAGGCCCAGTAAAGTTTTACTTAGGTCTATGTAATGTGAAACTGTTACAACAATTTTGTATCACAAATTAAATAGAGTTTACCTAGGATAACCTATGACTCACGAAATCGTAGTGACACGATTGCAAACAAACCATACCACGGGTGGGGCTTGAACTCGTAGTCAGAGTCTTAAAACTCCAGACCAGTTGATAACGCGTTAGTCTGGAGTTGTATGACTCTCTGATAGCGGGTTCAGTCCCCACCGTTGGTAAGGTTACTTTGCAGTCGTGTCACTACGATTTCATGAGTCATGATGACGGCTTTAATGGGACCTGAGTAGGAGATTCGTCTGTAAAAAATTCCATTTATGGTCACAGTGGTGTCTATGCTAACCTTCCTATGGTGTATAAATATACCTAGTTGAATAAATGTTATTGTCGCTAGCTGGCCCAGTGGCTAAGGTGTCGGTCTGGAGTTTTACGGCTCTCTGACCGCATGTTCAACCCCCACCTGTGGTATGGTTAGGATTTCCTAATAGTCGACGAAACCAAAGGGGAAGCTGTAAATCACGAGTAGGTTGTTTGAATCAAAAGTATACATCAGATTTAAAGAAAATGCTTTTTCATAAAATCACATAATTTTATTTATTAGTTGTGACATTCAAGAATACAATAAACTGTAATATTATACAGTTAACGTGTATATTATTTTACAAATAAATCTGCTAATCCCTGCTACTACCAATACACTGTATATACTAGTACAATACATTTAATCTATGTCCTTGAATTTATTTTTCATCAAGGATTAGTATTTTCCATGAAAGAATTAAACCAGTCAGTGATATAAGATGTTAATGGAGTTACATATTCTGAAATGCTAGTTATAGTTGAGTAGGTTGCATCGACAGCGATGAGAGCCCAGCCTTGTGTCGTCTCTACTAGGCGCATTACACTGGGGGTCCAAGCTTCCACAGTTCTGTCCACCTGCATCAACACAACACATGCCATTATCTCCTTTGAAAAAGCAATCTGATGGTGTATTATAGAAAACAAACCTGTGTAATATTAAGTTAGTTAAAGATAGTTGTTGCACATATATAATAAATAGGGTATCCATAAAATATGTATAAACTTTACATACAAAAAGAGCATATAGCAAATGTCTTCCAATAGACACGAACAAACAATGGAAAAAACGTGAATCCATGAAATGCAAGTTCACTTATTTGATAAATTATTCACTAATGAAAAGAAAATCCTTTAAGAGCTATTACAAATTTTGGCACAGACCATATATATATATATATATATATATATATATATATATATATATATATATATTATATATTATAATATATATATATATATATATATATATATATATATATATATATATATATATATATGTGTGTGTGTGTGTATGTGTGTGTGTGTGTGTATAGGTAGTAGGTTGGTAGACAGCCACCACCCAGGGAGGTACTACCGTCCTGCCAAGTGAGTGCAAAAAGGAAACCTGTAATTGTTTTACATGATGGTAGGATTGCTGGTGTCTTTTTTCTGTCTCGTAAACATGCAAGATTTCAGGTACCTCTTGCTGCTCCTACCTGCACTTAGGTCACACTACACATACATATACAAGCATATATATACACACCCCTCTGGGTTTTCTTCTATTTTCTTTCTAGTTCTTGTTCTTGTTTATTTCCTCTTATCTCCATGGGGAAGTGGAACAGAATTCTTCCTCCGTAATCCATGCGTGTTGTAAGACGTGACTAAAATGCCGGGAGCAAGGGGCAAATAACCCCTTCTCCTGTACAAATTACTAAATTTAAAAAGAAAAACTTTCGCTTTTCTTTTTTTTTAGCCACCCTGCCTTGGTGGGATACGGCTGGTTTGTTGAAATATATGTATATATATATATATATATATATATATATATATATATATATATATATATATATATATATATATATATATATATATATATATATATATATATATACATGTATATATATATATATATATATATATATATATATATATATATATATATATATATATATATATATATACATACATACATATACATGCTATATATACTTATAGCAATGAAATCACGAAACAAGTGATTTTAAATAATTTACCAAACTGCGGCAGACCAGGACTCGACCCTACGAATCTTATACCGCCTCCAGAGACAGCACAATGTATGCATCGCCTTACCACTTGAGCCAGTGATCCTACAAGAATCACGCATGCAGCTGAGCTACATGTTTTTCTCGTGATCCGAGGACACTCGTGGCAGTGGTATCTCGAGGATTAATTTCAGCCTCCTCCCGTTTGAATACCCACCTCAACAAGCAGCCTATATAGCAATGAAATCACGAAATAAGTGATTTTAAATCATTTACAAAACTGCGGCAGGCCAGTGCTGCACTAGGGTTTGGCACTAGTTTGGCACTGGCATAGTTAACGTGTTGTATTCCTGCTGAGTCACTGAGGTTGTTAGGAAGAATTTGTCTTATTAACTCGTTTGATGCTATGGAAGAGGATAGGAAAGTTGGTAGGGCAATCTGGGAGGATCTGCGTACTCCCAGCCCCCCAAACGTGACCGGAAGTGAGGCTTGCAACCACTGTCCGTCTTCAAGGGAAACATTCAATACACTCTCTAGCATGGTCTTAAGGAGAGAGTCATATTCCTCGAATTTCGGACTGCTGAAGGCTGGGGAGCATCTCAGAAAGTAGGTAAGTTTTGGGATTGACATGCACTTGGTGAGCAGGTAGAAGGCATCATGTGTATCTATGCCTTTCATCCTGCCTTCCATCGTCGGAGGTCTGAGATTTTTTTTTCTAGGATCAGATCGATGGCATTGAACCCAAGAGAAGGGCCAAGGAAAGTGCTATTGGCTGGATCAATGGCTCGTGCTCCTGGTAAACCAGCACTAATATTCTGGATCATCTGTGGATTGGTAGAAATTATTTCACATTTGGTGGGGTTTAAAGATAGGCCCAGGCTTTCTCCCATGTCTTTAATTTTTCTGATGTCCTCTAGGAGAGATTCTGTTGTGCCAGCCAGATATTGAGCTCACTGGAGAGTGCTTCAAGCTCTTCCAGCAGTTTCTAGAAACTGCTTGAAGAGCTGCATCCCTTCTGACTAAGTTGAAAGCGTTGACAAAGTCCAATTTGATCAAGGCTTTCTCATCGGACATGTTGATGTATACTCGTGCTGCGTGGGCAGCTGCTTCACATCCTTGTTGAACACTAGGCGGCGAAGGGTGTTGCCCACTGCAATGGGCCTGATTCCTCCATCCTTTTTCCGGAGGGCACACAATGAGGCACCAAAGAAAAGGTGTCTAATGGCCTCTGGGACACTGTCAGCCAGGCGCAGGTTGGAAAATTTGTTGAGTTCAGACAGCAGCCTCTCTGAAACCTCACCAAGTGCTGGATTGAGCATCTGTTTTAAGTGTTGAGGCCTTAAACCGGTAAAACCTCCTGCTGAGCCCTGTGGAAATGACATAGCAGCTTTATACACATCAGCATCCTGTAAGGTTAAATGTTCGTCACCTGCTGCAATGTCAGGGAGGTCAATATTGGTACTGGGAGCCCTGGGTGGATGTTCGTCCATCAGGGCTTGTGCCGTACGGATGTCCTTAGGAGCGATGGTATCCTCACTGGTTATAAGCTTCAGTGCTCAAATAGTATTACCCACTTCTATTTTTTTTTTGCTAAATTTGGCTCTGATTTTTGAGGCGTCGGGTGTCCTGCTGTTGGCATTTGCTCAGCGGGTGTTTATATATGTATATATATATATATATATATATATATATATATATATATATATATATATATATATATATATATATATATATATATATATATATATACATACATACATATAAATATATATATATATATATATATATATATATATATATATATATATATATATATATATATATATATATATATATATATATATAATATATGTACATATATGTACATATATGTATATATATATATTTTATATATATATATATATATATATATATATATATATATATATATATATATATATACATATATATATATATATCAGATGTTAGTCTTTCACAGCTCGATGTTACTCTCACTCACTGCTGGATGTTACTCTCTCACTGCTGGATGTTACTCTCTCTCACTGCTAGATGTTACTCTCTCTCACTGCTGGATGTTACTCTCTCTTACTGCTAGATGTTACTCTCTTCCACTGCTGGATGTTACTCTGTTCCATTGCTAGCTGTTACTCTGTTCCACTGCTGGATGTTACTCTCTTCCACTGCTGGATGTTACTCTGTTCCACTGCTGGATGTTACTCTCTTCCACTGCTGGATGTTACTCTGTTCCACTGCTGGATGTTACTCTCTTCCACTGCTGGATGTTACTCTGTTCCACTGCTAGATGTTACTCTGTTCCACTGCTAAGTGTTACTCTCTTCCACTGCTGGATGTTACTCTGTTCCACTGCTAGATATTACTCTGTTCTACTGCTAGATGTTACTCTGTTCCACTGCTGGATGTTACTCTCTCCCACTCATAAATGTTACTCTCTTCCACTGCTAGATGTTACTCTCTACCACTGCTAGATGATACTTTGTTCCACTGCTAGATGACACTCTCTCCCACTACTAGATGTTACTCTCTCCCACTGCTAGATGTTACTCTATCCCGCTGCTAGATGTTACTCTGTTCCACTGCTAGATGTTACTCTGCTCCACTGCTAGATGCTACTCTGTTCCACTGCTAGATGTTACTCTTTCCCAATGCTAGCTATTACTCTATTCCACTGCTAGATGTTACTCTGTTCCACTGCCAGATGTTACTCTGTTCCAGTGCTAAATGATACTCTCTTCCACTGCTAGATGTTACTTTATTCCAATGCTAGATGTTACTCTCTTCCACTGCTGGATGTTACTCTGTTCCTCTGCTAGATGTTACTCTGTTCCACTGCTAGATGTTATTCTGTTCCACTGCCAGATGTTACTCTGTTCCACTGCCAGATGTTACTCTGTTCCACTGCCAGATGTTACTCTGTTCCACTGCCAGATGTTACTCTGTTCCACTGAAAGATGTTACTCTGTTCCACTGCTAAATGATACTCATTTCCATTGCTAGATGTTACTCTATCCCACTGCTAGATGTTAATTTGTTCCACTGCTAGATGTTACTTTGTTCCACTGCTGGATGTTACTCTCTTCCTCTGCTGGATGTTACTCTCTCCCGCTGATGGATGTTACTCTGTTCCACTGCTAGATGTTACTCTGTTCCACTGCTAGATGTTACTCTCTTTCACTGCTGGATGTTACTCTCTTCCAGTAGTAGCTGTTACTCTGTTCCACTGCTAGATGTTACTCTGTTACACTGCTAGATGTTACTCTCTTCCACTGCTGGATGTTACTCTCTTCCAGTAGTAGCTGTTACTCTGTTCCACTGCTAGATGTTACTCTGTTCCACTGCTAGATGTTACTCTGTTCCACTGCTAGATGTTACTCTGTTCCACTGAGATATTTGGCTACTCGCCAACACGTCTGAAGTTTTAATTAATGTACTCAACTCAGACAACGTCATAGTATCAATTAACTATTTCACTTTGACATACATCACGAAAATAAGTGCACTACGAGAGAGTGATTATAGATGTTACTCTGTTCCACTGCTAGATGTTACTTTGTTCCAATGCTGGATGTTACTTTGTTCCACTGTTAGATGTTACTATGTTCCACTGCTGGATGTTACTCTGTTCCACTGCTAGATGTTACTCTGTTCCACTTCTAGATGTTACTTTGTTCCACTGCTAGATGTTACTCTCTTCCACTGCTGGATGTTACTCTCTCCCACTGCTAGATGTTACTCTGTTCCACTGCTAGATGTTACTCTATCCCACTGCTAGATGTTACTCTGTTCCACTGCTAGATGTTACTCTGTTCCACTGCTAGTTGTTACTCTGTT